AAGACAGGTCACTTTGTAAAGACTAAAGGTCAGTTTTATATTATTGGATACGATAACATGAGTGCATGTGCATCTCGTCATTGTAACTTCTGTATTGTTAGCCAGGCATAGCTGAAAGGTCAAAATAATAAATATATGTAAATGTATAATGTTATGAGGTTTAAGCTATTTAGTTTAATCATTTATGTTTTGGTGTTGTAATTTATCGTCATTCTAGAATGAAATTTATATTTATTTCGTAATTTTGTTAATGTGGTTATGAGATTGGTCAAATCGACCAAACCCATACAGAGATTCATTACTGAAAATAACAGATAAAATATATAGTTTTTTCTTAAGAAAAGTTTTATAACTGTCTGGACATTATAAAGATTTATCATGTGAAATTGGAAAATTTTCTGATGTACAAAAGTATTTTTAATCTTAAAATGAAAATTACTTTGTATGCTGGATAGACAACATGCGAAAAAAAAAACATGAGAAAAACATTGCTTTACAAACCTTAAGACTTAATAAAAAAATTATATATTTTGTGTATGAAAGCATTGTAATGTTTACTGATAATCTGCCAAATTTTGTTAACATACACTTATTAATTTAAAAGTTATAGCATGAAAACTATAATGGTTATGAGGTCAGTCCCAGGGACCAAGCCAGTGCTGAAAGAGCTAAAACGGCTCTTCAACTTAGTCATGCAACATCCAATGAATACCTTGTTCAAGACCAGCACTAGCAGGGGCAAGGAACCATTCCCTGAAACGTACCCCCTAATTTTAGATTTGGCCTCATTATATGTTTTATATTTGACTGTGAAATTGCACTGGAAGAACAGAGCATAAACTTCAATCATTTGAGTAGAATTTATTATGTAAAGATCTTTGAGTAGATGGTGTACATTGGAATTTAATATTTACTTTCACAGTAAATTTTATCTTTCACATATTTGTGTTCTCCACTGTACATGTATTTATTTAATTGATGACTATTGTTCTCATTTGGAATATAAATTACAGAAATAATTCTGAAGTCTGAATTGTGTAAACTCTGTTTTTTTTATTTCATTTCTGAGATATATATTCAAAGTAAATTATTATATTGAAATTATATATTATGTATTGAAATTAAACTTTTGACTTTATCATACTGCAGGGATAATTATTTTGGAATATTTTGCTCATTATTGTCACTGTGTAGCTAATTGTCAGATATGACATGCAGGTAGAGATCCATGTGTGTGCCATTTCACTGCTGGTTCAGCATGATTATCAGTTATTGTATTAATACTAAAGAGTGTAAAATGCTCATGGTATTAGTTAAGATCTGTTTGACTAGTATTAAGATTCTTGTAACCAGTTGGAAACACTAGAAGTGTGTATAATTGGCAATTACAGTTGTAATATTCTGTTAAATAAACTGTAATAAAGTATACCAACCATCATGTCTCTAAATCTTTGGTAAGTGAAATCTGGAGTTGTCATCAAACATAAACTAATTTTGAAAAACAAAACTTAATAAGTTTTTATAGATGATAAATAACTGGATTGTCGTGATACAAAATGTAACATTTTATTTTTCATAGTGATAGCTTTAGGTCTGAAGAAATGTACATAAAAATGATACTGAATTATAATTATATTTTGTTAGTGATTTATTTCTTAAAATCAGTGTTAAATATTAGATTTTGTGTAAGTTAAACCTCAATTCTGACACTGTGTGAGTAAAGTGCATTTTGGGTGATTAAAAATCTAATATGAGCAGGATTTCATTAGTACTTTTAATAAGTTTTTTCAAAGAAAGCTTTTAGGGTGTGCCTTAACTATGGTTCCACATTTGAACTAGGAACTTTCTTTTAACTACATATAAAACTTGTTCTTTAAAAAAAACAGACATCAGTCATTTCTTTTTGCTTCATTGACTACAAACAATGTTGCCATGGGGCAAATCAGCACAAAATAGAACATATATTTTGTTCTTTCCATTGCTGCATATTAATTATGCTAAATAATTAATATTTGTAGAGGACATGCCATACTTTTATAAAAAAGCTTACCAATACGTGCTAAATAGTATCTTGGGTTCTTGACGTATTTGTAGCTACTGAATAGTGTATGGTATGTTTAAAATTGACCATAGAGATGCTAGAAACCAACAAAGTACCAAGGAGCTTGATCTTCTTTGTATGGAGTGTTACAACAGCAAATTAGAAGTGTATATTGAGGTCTGATACCTCCCAAAAAGTGGCATTTAGGACACACATTTATACTGTGATCAATCCTTTCAGTTGGATGTCCACAATCACACATGAGGGTGTCTTTAATCCATCATTGATGTTGCAGGTAGCCACACTTTGTTTGCCTGGTGCAGATATGATTTATGACTGTCTATGCCTAATGCTGGAGATCAAACACTGGAACTTCTTTTGTTGGTTTTTAATATTCTGTGGATCCATGAATCTTTCCAATGTTTTATCGTAGATTGACTCCGAGATGTGAGGCTTCTTACTGTAGACCAGTAGGGTTGGTGAGATTTGAGTTGGGTATGGGGAGGCTTCTGTAAGTTGTTGTTGACTGGAATCATAGGATTTGCTCTAAGTCAGTCACACGTTTTGGTAGTGATCTGCTGATGATGGATATGTGTGTGTATAGACAGGGAGACATTCAATCTTTGTTGAATTTTGGGCTACAATAACAACTTGCATAGCTGATCTTAATTGGACATCAGTGAGATTTGTTTAACAGCTGTTTACTAATGTGAAGCAGATATACTCTGCTGCTGAATTGACAGGTGAAAGTGTAGCACTTCTTAGAGTGCTTGTTTTGCTGCCCCATATGGTAGCAGCTAATTTCCATACCAGATTCACTGGATTCACTATGGCTAGATATTTTGGTGTTCAAAGGTGCACCAACAGAAATGGACACTGAGTTTAGATTTAGCAAATGAGTTGCTATGTTGCTGGAAGCACATGCAGTGTTTGGTTGAAGCCATCAATTCAGGTTTTGTGTAAGGTGTGTTCTGATTGCACAGAAGTCAGATGACTGAGCTGTGAGAACATGATCATCTGCATACGCTCCTTGAGCTTGTTTGGGGAAGATCTGCTGTGTAGATGTTAAACAGGGCTGGAGCAAGTACCAACCTGTGTGATAGGTATTTGTTTGAGGTATGAAAGCAGCTTATTTTCTTCCCACGTTGTACCCTGAAATGTGTGTTGCTGACTATAGAACTTATAAGTCACAGTGTTTTCACACATCTAATTACTTTTGACAGTTTAGAAAGCATAGTGCTCTGCCAGAGTGTATCATAAGTACATGAAAGATCCATAAACATTATGCCAGTCTTTGTTCATTGATACTACCCCCCCCCTCATGTGTAAAGTAAGGGTGAGGAACTAGTTCGAGCAGTTTTGATCTTTCTGAAATCTGACTTGAAATGTAGTCATAGCTGATTGAAAGAGAGGGTTGATTCTGTTTAAGGTGATTGGTTGGTAGCTTCAAGTGTCTTCAGGATAATTTCCTGGTTTCAAAATTGCAATGAGTTTTGTCTAGTGCCAGATTGTAGGAATGTTTCCATTGTGCATATTTCTGGTAAACAGATTTATCGACCATGCCCATCCATTGGGTCCAAGTTTCTTCAGGAATTCTGGGTAAAGGCAAATGACATCAGCTGTTTTACCTAACTATGTAGCTGTAAGCATGTCATTAATCTCTTTCAAGGTATATGGTTCTAACGATGGGGACATATGGTCGATATTTTTGAGTGAGATTTTCAAGGACTTGATTTGTTTATTTACCCAAGTTGTTGGTGCTTTAGAGTCGATTGGCAGCTGAACTGCAATCTCATCTGGTAAACTTTTTGATTGTTGGTATGTTCAGCAACTCCCAGATGATGGAAGATGTTCCAACTCCTTGAGTTTGAGTGCATAAAATCTCTGCTTTTGACAGATTTTTACCATCTCCAAAGCTGAGCATTGTTAAGAAAGCTGAGAAGCATTTATGCCATCTCAGGTCTGGCTTTTGATTGTGGATATCCAGAAGCCACTTGTTTTATTGGGATTAACAGGAAATATATTCCTTCTTGTAGATTTGGGGGGTCAGCATTTGTGGCTGTAAGTTTTTTAGCATGTGGATTAAACAGCCATAGTTTTCTGGAAGCAGAGGAATGCTGTCTATAGTGCCTTCAATTGTGTTGGTGAAATTGTCCCACTGGCCTTTTCGAAAGCTCCAATGTGGTTTTGGCTTTGAAGGAACTAGTGAAACTTTAGTACCAATGGGGAGAAGTCTCGATCAATGTTAGGAAGCATGAAAATTTCAGAGGATTTTTCATGAAGAGGTAAAGTTCCTATCTTAGATGTCATGGGAAATGAAACAGTGGTCAGGAAAATAGTCTTCTTTCCACCTGGCTGTGTGAAACATCCCTGGTTGTTTCGCATCTTACAGTAGAGTAAGATCTTTGAATTCTGCCCAGTCTGCAAGCTGTTCTCCTGCTGTATTGTTGCTGATATAGCTTCACATATGGTGGTAGCTATTAAAGCCCCCAACTAATATCACTGGATGTTCTGTGTCTGTGAGTACCAGGGCTGGCCATAATTCTGACAGAGGTTTATATAAGTTGGTGATCATTATGTTATTGACTATGATGGAAACATAGAACGGGGTCATCTTTTTGAATAGCTTCAGTATTGTTTGTGAGTGTACTTTTGACGTAGATAGTTATAATGTATTTTTTGTGACAACAATATCCAGGAATGTGGTTTCTATGGTTCATTTGCATTTCTAGATGGTTCTGTTGAAGGAGGGCAATGTCCATGTTGTTGTGGCATGATTCTTTCACATGTAAATCACACTTTGCTTTAGATAAGATTTTAACATTGAAATAATAGAGTGTCATTGTTGATCCAATTTTTCTTCTGTGTGGGCCCTGAAAAGGGCCTTTATCTGGTACTAGCTCTGACCAGAAGGTCATTTGGCAATAATATATAAAAACAAGCTGTCAGTGTAAGGTACAGTTATTATGCATAAAATGTAAATTTCATTTGTACTTCATATTATTTGATATTTAACCCTATGTGCATGGGTGGGATGTAAAAGTGTGCATGGCATGACCTTTTGCTGACATTCATCATGGTTTTATGTATTGGATGTCAGTTATCAACTTTTCTATTTACCCTACTTTACTGATGACAGTACATGGTAGTCGAGAGTAAGTACCAAATACAATATACAGGGATACTGAAAAAACTATAAGTATGCATTTTGGAGGCTTTAGAGTTTATGCAAACTGTATTGTGGACAAAAATTCTTTTATTCTTCCAGTGTACATCCCCTTGCACTCTGACTTGTCAGAGTTTGATTGATGTTATCAGTTCAGAGACATATCTTGAGAACAAATACTTTTTTCAAGACTTGTACATCTTACTAAAATCATGCCTTATTTCATGGAGTTGTATGTAGTAGATTTGGAATTATGGTCAAAATTTCTTCTCCGATATGGGGTTCTTCCAATGAACCAACCCCATCACATTTTGTTGAAACATCCAGGATTCAGCTTGTCTGAAACATTGCTAAAGGTTATGTTTTTAAAGGTTATGCATTAATTTTGCAAATTGAATGTATTTTACCAAATTGCAAGAGAATCTTAACACCATACTTTATTTACATGGCTACAATCTAATGTCCATGTTCATTTTATATTTCAGGATTATCTTTGGTTCAGACAAGTTGCATTTTAGACTTTAAAAGTGTAATGTTTCAGTATTTCCATAAGTTTTAGTTTTGTAAATTTTGTATACTTTTGCAAAACTTGTCTTTCAGTTTATGTTGGATGAAAACTAGTTACTTTTAACAAGGGCTTGAAGCATGCAAAAGTAGAATTGTCATGATTGTAAGTTACTATAGATTTATTAAATTATTTATCCTTCTATTACAGTTTTCCCTCATTCCTTTTTGTATTACAACTGAAAGAAGATTTCCAACATTGAAGTCTGTTGTAGTAATGTGTTATAGATCTAGAATGTTGAAGTTTTGTTATTTTTTGTCATAACTATGAAATAAACAAAGTTAGATTACTTTCAATAAGTTTATTTAGCCAGTGCTCTTTATAAACATACTCATTTTTTATTACAAATTACAGCTTTTACAGTAAGGAAGAATATTTTTAAAACAGGTATGATGTTTTGATCACTGGTGTGATCATTCTCAAATGCACAGGCTTTAACAGTAAAGGTATTAGTACTCAAACCATTATTTAACCTTCTCTACCATTAAAACGTGTGTACTTGAGAGATTGGACTAGTGATCCAAACATTGTACTTGATTTAGAAGTATTCTTCCTTACTGTAAAAGCTGTAACTTGTAATAAAATAATGCTTATAATCAGTAAGTGAATTCAAAATGAAATACTTGTTCTTTGTTTCAAAATCAGGATGTATATACACAAACACACATATATGTTTTCATGTTTTTAAATGGAAATGCAACTATATTTGTAATTATAATAAAGATAATTCTCCAATATTTACTAATAAGATTTGGGATTAAAATAATTGATATATAGTTTAAATACTGTAAATGATATGAATCCACTCGATAAACTTAATATGTAATACATAAACTACTTGCAACAAGCTTCAAATTTGTGGCAACTGATGCTGCACCATTTTTATCTTCATGAATAGAAAGTTGTTAGAGAACACAATTTTCAGGGTTTTATTTGTTTTTTAAAAGAAGAGGTTTGATTAACATGAAACATGATATAACACTTCAATGTACTTATGAAATCACAAGTTGGGTTACATAAGAAAATCTGTTTACCCCTTTTAAGCATAATGATGAAAAAAGTGTTATAGTATGTGTATGTTTTGACAGAGACAAAATCTAATTACTGTTATTTGGCTATTAAAGTTATATGTAAATTTGGATAATGGCTAAAACCAAATTGAAGAGTTCAATTCTTAGTTATGGCAAGCAGAATGTTTTGTCAGAGATGTAAGTTCATATAAGTGTCTGAATAAGATGTGTACATAGTTTGACCATGATTGGATGTCTGTTTGTTTTTTAAGTAACAAGGTATTTTTTAGATCTTTACGTTGATTCGTATGAAAATGCTGCCTATATTTACTAGATGAGAAAACGGAAACGTCGTGGCAGGTTACCTAGAGACTTACAGGGACTTATGGGAGAAGCCAATCTATGTTTCGCTAGAGGTGACTATGACGATGCCACCAAAATGTGTATGGAAATTATTCGACTTGGTAAGATAACTTTATATGAAATGTAGTATATCACTGTAGAATTATATATGTATGCAATGACACACAAAAAAAAAGCAACAGAAAAACTGGTTAATATCATGTCTCACCAGTTAACTTATAGAACGTTATAAATTTGGATTACAGATCTTATCTATCTGTGTAATATAAGGCAGGAAATATACCTGATCGTCACCACCCAACAACAGAGTGAATATTGCAGTAATATAATAGTTATAAACCTCCTATATAATATGATTGTAAGCAACATAACCTGTCAACCCTTACTACAAAGGTGGTGTATGAGATTTGCAATTAAATGTTTGTTCTTTTTAACTTTTTAATTGCTATTGTGGGGTTACTGTCATATTCGAAATCAAATGTGGATGATAAGTTGTAGGTTGGTTTGAGATTTTGTGAGTTTAAGCATTCGGGCATTATCCCTTATAATTTTTCTTCAGTAATCTTCATTTGAGGTTTTCACTAGCATTCTAGAAGTCCATTGGCAATACAAGATACCCGTTTTGGATGCTGTTATCATAATCATATTAATCCAAGCTATTCTTCTAATGATCTTTTTAGTTTATTTTTTTTTATCCTGTACAAACTAAACTTTGGAATATTTATTTATTAGAAATTATTTCCATCTTTGTATTTTTGTGGGGCTCAGTTTTTGTTCATATGCAGACAATGTTGACAATTATAATTTTCTCTGCCTGTGCATATAAAACTTGTTAAGGTACACAGTTGCAAGTCTTGGTCTTTGTACATTTTAGTTTCTTATTTCTGGTTCAAATGGTTTGAAAGTAGTGATTTTTTGAAGATTATGGTTTCAAAAACTGTAGAATTGAAAATTTAATTAAACTTTCTAAAGCTGATAAAATCATAAATGTATGATCTAAAAGCTGGGATTATTCTTTCTTACAATCTGTTTGCCATAGAACTTCCTATGTTGTTTATGGACTTTAAATTTCTAAACTTTTACTTACTGTGTCACAAGTCTTTCTTAGTCATGTGACTTATTGTTTTTGTATGTAATTGTTAGTTTAATGTTTTGAAGTAATTACATTGAGTTTCTTTTCACATTATAAAAGTTCCTGCTCATAAAATACAAGTATGAAATCTTATAATGAACTTCTCTACATGTGGATACAGCACAGATAGCCCATTGTATAGCTTTGTGATTAACAACAAATAAATTCTACAGCATGAGCTTAGTGGGTTACAGAAATAACTTTTATAAATAACGGATAGTGAGATAAATACTATACTTGATGGTTGTTACGGTTCTTAGCTAGAAGGTTACTCATGATTATTTTGTACTCGTTATAGTTTCCATACTATAACTTTTAACATAGTATCTGTATCTTCACAAAATTTAGCATACTTTTACTAAACATTACAAGTCTTTTATACAAAAAAATCTGATTTTGTTACTGAATTTTTGCTAAAGATTAGTCCATGAATATATATATATATTCTTTTTTTTTACTAGTAAACAGTAACAAAGCAGTTTATTTCTTCTTTGACATTTTTACAAGCTTGAAAACTTGTAACTTGTAAACTTACACCTACAAGTGATGCTAACTGCACTACACCAATTTAAAGAATAAATTTACTCATACATGCAAAGTAACTCAGTATGTACAATACCTATGAAAAATCCAGATACTTCACAAAAAATAAAAACATACTGACTGATCTCTCTATCAGCTAGAAACAACTCTCTATCTTCTTAACTGTAATTTTAGCCATTCCTCAACTATCGTCTTGATGCTTCACTGATCCTGTATTTATAATCTACCATTGAATGTACTAGAAAACCTGATATTATATCTTTAGAACTTTCTAGGACTTATTTAATCTCATCATTACAGCTTGTATTTCTTTCTAGCTAACAATACTATGTTAAATACTTTTAATATTTTGAAATTGTGTGGTAGAATTTGAAAACTTTGAATGATATGGTTATGATCTTACTTTAGATAATGACCCATATGACTTTCTGAAAATATTGTTTTATGTCACAAAAAGAAATTTAAAACTGTGTTGGAAATATTTAATAATTTCATTTTACTAAATGATTTACTTCAAAATTTTTCTAGGTTTTAACTTTTTTTTAAGTAATTTACTTCAGTTTCTTTTCACCAAGGAAATAACCAGTAGAAATAATAAAATCAGAATTGATTAACCTGTTAATATATTTTAAGAGAATAAATTAATATTTAACAACAGGAAATTACAAGTACTTCAGATTGCTTGGTGACCTTGACAGACAAATTTTTATGTCAAATTGACTATTTTTATACATAATATTCGTCTGATGAACAAGTGAACTGATTACCAAAAGTGTGGGGAGGGGAAGCTAAAAATTGTATTTGTTATTTGCATCTAAAATACTGAAAAAAACATCATCTTTTGTGTAGGATAAAAAAGAAATCAGTTTCTTGTGCAAGAATACTAGACTGTTATGAATACTCATAACAAAACGTAAGGTGTAAATAACACATGGTATAGACAAGAAAGTTATCTTGCTAGCATGAGCTGGACAGTACTGAACCAGTCTTTGTGCATGGTTAGTTTTTAAAGACAGCAAGGGGGGAAAACTTAAATGTACATTTTATCATAACTCTTCACACAGTTTTTATTAGTGGTATGTTCTGAAACTATTTATGACTTATTGTGAAAACAAGAGAGTGAAACTTAAATAATGTCTCTAAGTTAGCTTTACAATTAGTAAAGAAGTGATGATACTAACTGAACATATGGAAGACTGTGACTTACCTGCCTAATGACAAATAGAATATTTTATAAAATTACACCTCTGAACACTAACTGTGTATATATGTACTTTCCATCTTTGCTTATCTACCTATACATAGTTTTTGTGTGTATTTTATAGCCAACAGACCATTTGGATTTTTTTATGTTTATATTATTTGAATATAAATCATTCATAATAACTTCTCTTTCATGTAATGAATGCTGCTAGGCTTTTTAATTATTTATCATATTTCTATGAAGCTTCTTTCTTGTACTGTCTTGAGTTGAATTACAACATATGTACATACATACTAAAACAAACACACACATATATTAATGTGCTTGACCTAGTGTATCAAGAACTTTAAAAACAAATTATAATTCCTTACTATGATTTATCTAGTCACAGTATTTCTTAATTTTTTTATTTTATCTTATAAAAGTTATGCATATTTATAGTTCCAACAGCACCCGAACCATTTCAGACTCTAGGGATGCTTTATGAAGAGAAAGGAGACACAGAAAAAGCACTTCAGGTATTTCATTCTACAATTATACTTTATTGAAGTTTACTTTTTTTGTATTTAGGCACAGTTTCTACTACCTTATAAGAGAAATGGATCTTTGGCTAATGTGCTAGGACATAAATAAAACCTTTTTGGCAAATATTATGTAAGTGAACACATAGATCTCAGAGATGGAAATAAAATTTGGAGTTACTCCATTCGATGTAATACGTTTATCTAAAGTGCATGATTGATCCTAGTTTTTGATTTATGTTTTATGTATGAAAAGCTGCTACAGGTATACTTATGGCTGTAGGATATTTCACAGGAAAGATATTTGTGTAATATGGTTTTTAAATGATGTAGAGTGAAAGGTTACATCATTAAGAAAAAACAGACAAAAAACTTGTACGTCAGAGCATTTAGGATAGTAATGAGCTATGAAGTCACACCCTAAATGAATTTGGGCACTGCCATCACCTTCAAAGTAAATTTATAAAACAGAATCCCCTAATTCAAAAAGTTATTGCCATGAAGCTGATACTAACCTTTGTGCCATTACTGGCATTAATACACCTTAAGAATCAACATGTGTATTCATGAGAAACTTAATCAAAGAAGCTAGAATCACAGTTATCTCATTTTGCTAATTGTCTCTCAAGTCACTCGATGAAGTTACAATAGATTTTTGTGCCATTGGTTTACTTGAATTTGTTTTGGGAACTAATGTCTGCCTATAGTTGAGGATTTGAGGAAAGCTGTGTGCTCTAACATTGACCTGACCATCCTTTACAGAAGCTTGTTACAGTGGAACTTTCGCTATCAGAGTAAGCATCACCATTTATGGCAGAATTGCAGTGGCAGTTGTGTAAAAGGTAACATTTATGCAGTGATATATTGCTATACTTTAGTGATAACAATGTGAGAATTCTTCAGGGTCACATTGTGCAATGTGTTGGTTATGTGAAGTATATACCAACTATGAAAGCCCCCTCAATCTCACTTGTTAACAGGTGTTAGCATTGCTTGTCTAATATTAGCAACTGCAGTTGTAACTAAGAGATAGCGCTTGTTCAAATGGCATTTTTGACTAGTTATTTAGCTCATAACACAACTTGAATAAAGATGTTTTTGTAAATAAACCATTATAAGAACATTGTTAATTCTTGACCCTTTGCTTTTATACATGTAAATAGTAAAAAATATTTTAATTTAAATGCAATTATAGCATGTGGTAATTGTAGATAATATATGTCTTTATAGCTTTTTATAGATTTACCAGATTTGTTGTGTTGTTTGATGAATAATAAATTAATCCTTTTTTATTACTTCTCTTATGATTGTTTTAGAAAATATTAATTTTCTGTGTAATTGTTTATGCATTTAGGATCAGCGTAAGTTGTTTTGTATTTATGAGCAGTTTTTATGATATGAAGAAATACAAAGTCAGGCTTTCTTTTTGTTTTCTCTCAGGTAAAGTTAATAAATAATCACTAATTACCAATATGTTATGTTGAGAAAGTATATGAATAAGGAATTTTGTTTCCTTGGTACTGGGTTTAATACAGTGATGAATGAAGATTTAAATTTGAACTCTCCTTTATAATGTTTATAAAGTATAAGAATTAGGTAGTTTCACAGTGTTCTAAAGTGGTGGTATCCATCATTGTATGTGAAATAGAAGGTATGATAGTAAAGTGCAACTAAAAGAAGTATTGAAAATAAAAAACAAACAAATTAAAATTATTTTTTTGATGTTGTAGGCACAAACATAGGACATTTAAACCAGAAATAGTTTCACAATCTGTGTATACCAAAAAATGAGCTATTTGTACTGTGCTCATAGTGAGTATTGAAAGTTGATTTTTTAGCATTATTTACCCTCAGACTTGCTGCTGAGTCATGGGGGGATATATGAATAATATTGTCGTAGAAATTGGGAGGATACATGAACATTGCAGTTTCTTCATGCAGTCTTTGAATTATTTTGTGTTGCAATCTCTCTGAGGTATAGAGAGCTGATTTAAATTAATAAAATTTTCATGGATGGTTTTGGAAAGGAAATTATTTGCCATTTCTTTGTTTTTATTGTATGAAACTATTCATGTAACCACTAAATAAGTAATACAATTTTATTAGTTTACTAAACCTGTCTATCATGCAAACATATGTTGCAAGTGTTGTAGCTACTTTTGTCACCTTATGTATACTGGGTTCATACGGGTTTTGGAAAGTTTTTGAAAAATGAGAATTTATTCCAGATTTTTGGAAAAGTCATGGAAAATGAAAATTTTCTTCTCTCATTTTAATAAACCAATGTTTTCCATAATTTCTTTATTTGATGATTGCATCATACAATATCCTGGTGGTAACAATCTTCTGAGTGAGCCCTTCGTGTTTTCCTTTAGTGACAAGCATGTGTGAATAGCAACTTGAATTATTTCAGTGGTACAAGGTTGAATGAGGCCATTGACATCTGAGCCTTGCCATTGAACCAGTTATGTAATTGTGATTCATCCTCTTTTTCTGTCATTATTTTTGTGTTCTGTGGTATTGACTTGAATGTGTACTTGCGTAAAACATGCTAGGCAAATGTATATTTAACAATGCATGGCTTCTGAAGGAATGGCTCATTACAGATGCACATTGCCAAGAAGCTAAGTATAACCAAAACTAGTATAACCCAATAATACATGTTGATCAAAGTGTAGATTGAACTGAACCTCCCTTGGAATACTAAGTTTATTTATTATAAATGAACTCTTTGAAAAGATGTTCCGAGATAGTAAAATTGCATCCAAGTTTTCTTGTAGAGAGAGAAAAAAGTGGCACACGTGACTTGTTTTGGATTAGCCCTATATATGAAGTCAAATTTGTATCAAAAGCTTGGAAAAGATACAAACTTTGTGTTCTTGTACAATGAATCCTTAAATGGTAAAACCAAAAGGACCAACTTGATGTGTACCTTCAGTACTTTGACATGGATTTTCGGATTCAGCATACAGGAATTACTGTTGAACATGTAAAAATTTCAAGACAGTAAAACCATTGCAAGTCTGTTTTATCTCTTAAGCCATTTCTTACAGCTGACAAAAGAGCTTAGTCTTAGTCTTCTTTTGCAAATAAGGATGGATGTTCCAAACATTAACTGGTCATTCCATGAGAAATTAGAATGCAATGAAATTTTGTTCTATCTGATGGTTAGAAAATGCACTTGTTATACAAAGGACAGTTGAAATTAATCTAAATTTCCAAACATGGATCAAAACAGTTTAATCCAAATTAACCTTGTACACTGTACCAAAAAGTCAAGCATTTAATACTATGAAATATGCAATAACTGATATTCTTTCCATAGCAGAGTTATCTTTTTATGTTTCAATATTTGAAGAACTCTCTCCATTTCTTATGAAATATCAGACTGACCACCCTATACTGCTTTTTGTCAGCTGTGATCTTGAGTCTATGATTAGAAACCCCTTTCCCAGAAATATCAGGAATAGCTTTATCTGGATTTCCATGCATATCAATTTGAAAAACATAATAGCAACCTGTCCAATGATGAAACAGCTGTCTTGAATAATAAAATATGTTTAAATAATATAGGGCTCTCAAATCCGGACAAAGGAAATGGTGTTGTCATTTCAACAAACAGAACTACCTTGATAAAGTCTATGCCACCTTAAATGACTCCAGCAAGTTTAAAGTTTTAGATAAAGATCCCACTCAAAAGACAGAAAATACACTTCAAAAACTCCTATTAAAACTAAAGAAAGAGAATGCCATCCATGGAATTTGATTCATCTGTATTCATCACAAGTTTGATATTAAGTCATTATACACTAACATTCTTGATGAAGTAATCAAATTAAGTAATGATTTAGCATTTAAATTGTTAAAAATTGATTTAAGAAATATGGAAAATATCAAATAGGTTAAGCATGTCGATATCAGTTATTGTGCAAAAGAAAATATGAAAGTATTCATTGCCACAGAGAAGGCAACTCCAAGAGATGAACTTTCATTTTGCAGTGAGTGTTTGTCTGTTTTGATCTGTTTTATTGAGAAATTGCTAATGAAGTATCTGTTGAAATACTAATTTACTCTTAATATCACTTGTTTTTCTCTCTTCTAAAAATGGCCTTAGATGTGATGGGTAGTAAAGCCCATTTTCAGCATGTACTGTCCATTCTTGTCAATTTGAAGTGTCTCAAAGCAGAAGAATGTGATCACTTAATCAGACAGTATGACTTGTTTTTATCTCAGGTTGTGAAACCAAATTCCAACTCTTCAAGGATTTTGACCTCAAAACTCATAGGCTTGACTGCTTTTGGTCCAAGTTACAAATTATGAGTCTTTATGGTCTGTTGTCAAACTCATTTTGATACTTTCTCATGGCTAAGCAACTGTTGAAAGGGGCTTTTCTGTAAATGAAGTGTTAATCCTGGTACTAATAAAAAATGAACAACATTTTGTTTATAATTAAATAAATAGCAAAAAAAAGTTGTACAAGAACACTTCTGAACTTACTCTTTAATTCTAAAGGTTATTTTTCATGTTTTATGAGTTCTGTGTTGAATAACTTGCCTTTTCACTTTAGGATGTGCTAACTATCCAATCAGTCATGTGAAATTTAATGCAGCAAATTAATATACATAATTAAATAATGCCAGGTATATTTGTATGGAGTTAAATGTTTGATTTTAAAATGTACACTGAGTTAAAGCCTGGATATGCTACAAGATATGGCACACCAGTGAGTACAGTAATAGCACAGTGCCACCACATCTTCCAGCGTGATTTTGGTTCTTAGCCATTTTAACTTTGGTCAGAACTCTAGTACTTGTTAAAATACTAAAAACTTTGTATAAAAGGTGAGAAACAGATGTATGCTGTTATATACAAATGCTGGAAAAAGCATATAGATCTTGTTAGGTTGCAAATGTGACAGCGTCCCCAGAAACCACAACCTGGATGTTTGCTCTGTGGCCACTAAATTATCAAGAACAGAAACCTGTGTGAAATATACTTAGGAGAAGAACGTTCATTTGTGTCCAAAAGTAAAGAAGAAACTTAAGATGTTCTAAAGACATTTATTTCGTTGTATGACCCTAAAATTTGTAAAAAAATTTTGTGAAGAATTTCCAATATTTTTCATTCAGTTTTCCCTTATTGGAGCATACCTCAATCCCAGTGACCCTGAAGAATGGATCAAACTTGCAGAAATGTCGCTTGAGCAGGGAAATGTCAAACAGGCAATTACCTGTTACTCTAAAGGTAACTCTTAAATTTATAATTGGTTTTCTGTATTTTAAGTCTTTCTGTATTTTTTATATACTATTAATTGTACTGTGTAGACAAAGCTGAAAATAAAATAATGTTTCTTTCTGTAATGTTCCATGTTGACAATATTAACAGCAAAAACAAAATACTTCCCACTCCAATAAAGATCAGTGCACTATAAAAACAAGTAACTGTTAGACAGAATTTCTAAGATCATTTTTTCTCAGTGACTAACATTTGCCTGTAAAGTTCATTAATTTAACCCTTATCTCCATGGATTTTCCTATGGTCAGGTGTCAAAGGGCATATTATCACGTTTGTAGACTTACATTTAAAATTTTATTGAACTACAATTTTATAAATGTATGTCAATGAGTTTGGTATCAAATTGTATATTACAATTCAAATTTTAGTATTATATGTTAGTTAATTTCATAATTTAAAAATAATATTAAATAAATTCATAAATATTACTTTTTGTGTGTCACATGGTATGTTAAATGCAACTTTGGTTCAAATTAGTCTATAGTCTCCAACAAATTAGGAACTCAAATTACCTCTATTGACAAACAAGAATATAAAATAAGAAACTTCTGTCTTTTATATTTGCTGAGATATTGCTACAATTACTGAATGAAACATAGTGGTCCTGCCCACCTCTTCCATTTTTGGAAATACTTGGTTACGTACATCCACTTCACTCTATCATGTTTATAACCAGTGAAAATCTCAGAATTACCTCCATGTAATTCTCAGGCTCTTAAAGGTGGGCCCGGCATAGCCAGGTGGTTAGGGCGCTCGACTCGCAATCTGAGGGTCGTGGGTTCGAATCCCGCCAAACATGCTCGCCCTTTCAGCCGTGGGGGCATTATAATGTAACGGTCAATCCCACTATTCGTTGGTAAAAGAGTAGTCCAAGAGTTGGCAGTGGGTGGTTATGACTAGCTACCTTCCCTCTAGTCTTACACTGCTAAATTAGGGAGACGGCTAGCACACATAGCCATCATGTAGCTTTGCAAACAATCTTAAAGATGAGAAGTTCCCAAGTTTATTTCTTTGTCTCGAATCTCAGAAGAAAGTGGTAAGTGAAAATATTATTAAAATAACAATACTTTTTTAGACCCAAATACAGTCTAGTTAATAAGCCTTCTAAATTACAGTGGAATTCTGTGATTTTGTGAAAGTAATTTATAATTTTTTATTATTTCAAGATGCATATATGAATCCTAAAAAGTTATTTTGTTTTACATTGTAATGGTTTAAAATGAATATGACACAACAATCAGGGTTCAACAGCAAAAATAATTTATTCAACAATAACAATACTTAGAAATAAATACAACACTTACCAAAACACACTTAATAAACAAGTGCAGGACCAGGGCTTGACTAATGTTAATAAACAATATATCATAAATATCAATATTATTTCAAATAATGGAATCAGAAAAAAGAACCAGAAAAAAACAACAACCTAACTCTAAAAAAATACAGCAAACACAGTATTCCAAAATTACCTTTCAATATCAATAACGGTATTGAGTGATAAATAGCAATAATTCACTAACTGTCTCGTGACTCTCTCTTCGTTAAGCTTCTGGCAGGGTATTTATTCACAACAGTAGGTCACAACAGTACAACCTCATGTGATCATAGATTTACATACTTGTCTGCTACATTAATAGTATCTGTACATCACCTTTAGGGAAACTGATGTCAGTTTCATTATACATACATATTTACTCAAAATACAAATGGTTAGTCAGAAGGTGAGTTAGTGTTTTAATGCAACTAAAAAATTGATAGATAAACTCAATGATAGAAGGAAATAATAAATGAACAATAAACACAACCATAATCATAAAAAAAAATGTAATTTGCTATCCCACACTCCTTCTCCCTTGAATAATGAAGTGATGACATTAATCACTTCATATAAAATATTCCAATTTTCATATTCTTACTTTTAACTCCCTCTTTATACTGACATCGTGAATCCTTTACAGTTTAAGTACAGATGCTTTACAAGAAAAATACAATTCATGTTTTTGAATCTTCAGCTAGATTTTCTATAGCTTCTAGTTCCTGCTCTGGTTTAGCTTAACAAAAGTTTGAAGACCAGCTAACTACAATAATTAACTCTGTGATATGGTCACTATGTTCTTTGAGGAGGAGATAGAGGTAAGTCATTAGTAGGATCCGTTGAAGGATGAGAAGTGGACACACCAGTAGAAGCCCCTTTTCTTGTGGGGGAATAACCATCAAGTCTTCTGTAGTCAGCATTTTTGTTTTGCTGAAACAGCCTAGGATGATTACTATCTGCTTCACTGTTGAGAGAATTGTCACTAGGAAAAAAAAAAATATATATATCTCTATATTAAAAATATGAAATCCTCCTGTAACTGCACCTGATCTAGGATCTTTTAATTCATACACTGATGGAGGACAAGGTCTGCTCCTATTATCTCACCAGGTTCCATTAGTTTAGTGCTTTGCATGAATTCAGCTGGCCACTTCTGTTCAAATTTAGTGGTTTGACAATCATGGCATGAAAACACATAATTTTTATTGTCCTTTCTCATACCAGGCTAATAACCACGTCTGGATACCATGTCTATTGTTTTTCAGACGCATAGGTAACCAGCTGTAGGATGATCATGCAGTTCGATTAACATTGCCAGTATCAATGTTTTGGGAATAACTAGTCTGAATTCACCATTGCTAGCAAACCTTTTTGTGTAATAAAGGACATTATCATTCAAGATATACTGTTTGGATTTACTTACAGTTTGTGCAGTTATAGTAGAATTGTTTGGCAATAGTCCAGTTTTCAAATAAGAATATATATGCTTATATTCATCATCTTTAGCTTGTTCATTAGCCAATTGTTCTCTAGTGTAAACATTGACAATTGCAAAAAGTTTGGGTGATTACTTACTGATGTCCAATTCTGGAGGGTCAGTAGGATGTCTAGATAGGGAATCAGGTAATTGGTTCTCTTTTCCTTTTCTGTGCATTATTTCAAAGGTATTATTTGTAATTTTAGTGACCACCAAATCAGTCTACCAGTTAACTTCAGAGTTGTCTGTAACAATTTTAAGGCAGCATGGTCAGTTATAACTGTAAATTCTTCTCCATCTAGGTATATCTTAAAGGTTTTTGTAACCCAGTCTATGGCTAGACATTCTAACTCTATAGTATTATAGTTTCTTTCTGCAGAGTTCAGTGTTTTACTGGCATATGCTATGACACCTTTCTCACACAGAACTGCTCTAATCTAACATATGAAGCATCAGTATGCAAATAAATGGGGTTCACCTTTTCTTTGAAGTTGCAAGACAGGGGATTCATATAAAGCCTGTTTTAATATCAGGAATGCATCTTCCCACTGGGGGGGGGGGGGTCCATTTTCACCTGATATGCTTTCTTCGTAACCGATATAAAGGTTCAGCAATTGTAGCAAAGTTTGGAATGAACCAGTTGTACCAGGCACACATGCCCAAGAATGTGCTTAACTCTTTACAGTTTCTTTAAGTTGGGAAATCTGTAACAGCTTTCACTTTCCCATCATTTGTGTGTATTCCCTCAGAAGAGAGTTTAAATCATAAATATGATACTTCTGATTGGCAAAATGTGCTTTTAGAAACTTTTACTGTAAGATTAGCTGTACGTAGCTTGTAGCATACCAATTCAAGGTCTTTCAAGTGTTGTTCAAGTGGGGGGGGGTGAAAACACTAATATTATCAATATAAGCCTTGGAACATTCAGTTGCTCCTGCTAAGGTCTTTTCCATAAGTATTTGGAAGGTGGCAGGGGCATTTTTAAGACCAAACAGCATCACTTTAATTTGATAAAGTCTGTTATCAGTTATGAAGAGAGAGTTATGTTGATCCTCCATCTTAATAGGTATTTGCCAATATCCACTGGATATTGAAGTCTAATGTACTGATACAGGCTGCCCTTGACAAAGCATTCAAAATATCACTAATATCGAGTAATGGATAGAGATCAGATTCTGAGACTTGATTTAACTTCCTGTAGTCAATACAGAACCAAAAATCATTAGTTTCTTCTTGACAATAACTACTGGAGAAGCCCAAGAAGAAGTGGAGGATTCAATTAACCTATCACGAAGCATTTCATCCACTTGATCATGTAGCACTAATTTAGTTATAGAATAATGATAAGGTTTGCTAAACACTGATGTTTCTGTCTTGGTTACAATACAATGTTCAGACAAATCTGTGACACCAGGTTTATTGTTAAAAAATCTGCATATTTCAACACAAGTTGCCTTAAATGTGAACGTTATACTTCTTCAGTCAGTATTTTTTCAGTCTCAGAGTCATGTCTAACAGATGACACATTTAATTCAATAACTTTTGTGAAGAAGTTAAGATTGCTTTGGTTAGCTGAATGAAGTCTATTCCAATAAGACAGATACAGCCAAGTCTTTGATGACAACAAAACATTGGTCAACGATGCAATTATTTTACTGATAGTTGTGCTTCAAAATATCCTAACGGTTCACAGTTCATCATTCCATCTGCAAGGCACATATTACCTTTACTCCTAGTTTTTTAGTGGAAGTGTTGGATAATTTTTCTGATTTGTTGCTTTATATTTTCATTTACTACTGAATAACCTGACCCAGTATCTATATGACTTACTACTTTCATACCATTAATTTTTAAGGTTAGGTATGGCAGATTAATTTTGGTTTTACTTTCATGAGATTCAAAACCTACTTCTTTGATTCCTGCTCTCGTTTCCCAACTTCTGTCCATCTTTTCTTTGTTCCCTGTTTACATATTTTATTTACTTGTGATAATGCATAGATAAATGCCCTATTTGATTGCACAGGTCTATTATGATGCACAGTTTTAATCACTTCAACATTAAAAATTTAATTGTTCTGGTAATGCTTGTATTGCTTTGTAAATTTAAGCACATCAGCAATGACATAACAAATTGGCATTTTAATTATTTTTGTAAAAAAATGTACAATTGTAATATTATACACTTCACTATTTCTCTTTCTGTAGCTTCAGAGTTCCATAATTTAGAAGTTTCACAGTTTTCCAAATAAATGTCTCAACCGACTACCCTGCATTAGCATGGTACTTCCTACTAAAGAGTTCCTTAGTTCGGTATTATCTAACACTGCTGAGTACAAAATAGTCAATACTTTATTAAATTCTCCTCAGTGTTCAAAGCCATTTCTGATCTGAAAGCCTTCCACCATTCTTGTAGCCTTCCCCTCAAATAAGATACTGCAGTTTCCATCCCTTTATTCTCAGGTACTTTATACATATAAAAATATCTTTCTAAACTTTTAAGAAACCTCAATATATTAAAATCTGACTTACCGTCAAACTTCTCAACAGGCAGGGGTGGTGGACTGACTACAGTTATGTAAATGGATGAATTTTCCACAGGTTTGTAGGTAGAATGGACTTTCAATGTTTGTGGTTGAGGTTAAGGGGAGGGAGACTTAAGTTCTCTTGCTAGTAGATCAGTTACCATGTTTGTTAGCATTTCCAGCTGTTCTGTCAGTACTGACACAGACTGCTTCAAGCTTGCCACATAAGACTCACTAACTTCCATAGTAACACAGTAATTTTCAAACACTAGTTAACTTATATTTAGCTTAAATTATTGCTGAATTAATCACTCAATACCAAATGTAGAAACAAAAAATCCAAAGTCACAATTCAACCTTTATGAAAAAGGTCCCTGTTTAAGTGCCAATGTAACGGTCTATACTGAACATGCCACTACACTCAGGGATCAACAACAAAAACAATTTATTCAGCATTAACAATGCTTAGAAATATACTCAACACTTACCAAAACACAGTTAATATGCAAGCGCCTGGATAGGACTTGACACTAATGTTAATAAACAATATATTATAAATATCAATATTATTTCAAATAATGGAATCAGGAAAAAGAACCAGAAAGAAAAAAAACCTAACTCCAAAAAAATACAGCAAACACAGTATTCCAAAATTACCTTTCAATATCAATAACGGTATTGAGTGATAAATAGCAATAGTTCACTAACTGTCTCGTGACTCTCTTCGTTAAGCTTCTGGCAGGGTATTTATTCACTGAGTAGGTCACAACAGTACAACCTCATGTGATCATAGATTTACATACTTATCTGCTACATTAATAGTATCTGTACATCACCTTTAAGGAAACTGATGTCAGTTTCATTATACATACATATTTACTCAAAATACAAATGGTTAGTCAGAAGGTGAGTTAGTGTTTTAATGCAACTAAAAATTGATAGATAAACTCAATGATAGAAGGAAATAATAAATGAACAATAAACACAACCATAATCATGAAAAAATAATAATAATTTGCTATCTTGCATCATCCTCCACATGCAAAATTCAGCAAAGCTTAGCACACAAGGTATAGCTTGCCAGGTATGGCAAGGAGTCAAATTCTGAACTGTATGCAAAAATAACTCCATTTTTTCATTGATGGCAGGCATTAGGATTCATGCAGAAGTGAATTCAACTTTACACTAGAAAGTCTAAGAAAAATCATGAAGTAATTCTTGAAATTCATGAAAATAGTCTGGAAAAATTTGGGAATTACTCATGAATTTTTTATGCTGATAGTGTGGGAACACTGATCAGAGTACTTTCAGACTTTCTTTTAGATTCTCAATCAATTATGTCAGTTTTTCAGATGGATAAGATTTTGGTCACTTTATGTTGGTTTGAGAAAATACTTTGTGGATTATTGAACTTTATCAGTACTCGATCAAATTCTGGTTTTAAGTTGGCATACCCCACGTTCTTATGCCTCTTGTTCTTATTTTTTCTTGACTCACAAATCCACTTTACAACAGACTGTTATATGTTGAGGTCATGTGATCTGTTAATTTTCTTACAGTGATGTTATTAAAAATGTCCTGAATCTAGATCAAATATTTTATACCCATATTTTTTGTACTTTCCAGTGGTGCAGAGGATTAGCACCTAGTTGTAACCTATTTTTATTTCCTGCTTTAAGACATAGAGTTTTCATCACTTACCAATTGTTTTTGGAAAAGGTTTTAACGTCCAGAACAGACATAGCCGATAGCTACTTCCATGTTCTCACTATCTTTTGTTTCTCAGTTTTGTGCATTTTGTTTAGATGAAATTAGTTTAGAGCTCTTCCATTAGATCTTTCCTCCACCCCACATGTTTCCATCAGGATTTTAAATCCTGGGAGTTATACTTCTTTCATTTGGGAATTTATTTCCACCATTATTTGAACAACTGACTTATTTTGTCTCCAACCCAGTAAAATGTTTGTCTAGACTCACATTAGTCATGAAGTTTGGGTCTATTCTGGACAGTGTTGGTTCCTTTAGCTACAAAACTTTAATATTTACTAAAAATGTGGTAAAAACATAAGTTAGTTATTATGCAAAAATTAAAATTTAGATTAGCATACTCAAATAATAGTTAAATCAGATTCAGCCACAATTGTAAAATTGTTGTTGTGCTCTTATGATGTCAGATTGAGAAGAATTTAACATAATTCAAGTAGCCATAAGGTAAATTAATTTATCTATATTTATGTCCAATAATGACAAATTATTCAGAATTTGTATTAATATTGCTTGAGCATAAAAGAGGAATTTTCTTTATACTCTATTTATAGTTAACACAGTAGGAAATTACTTGGAGTATTAAAAAAATCATGGAATCTAGTTCATTTACATTCAGGGTTACCTTAGAAAAACAACAACAATAGAATAAATTAGCCATATCTCATCTAGGAAAAAAAATGTTTTAGTTACTGAAAAGTATGTAATTTCTAGGTTTATAAACTGTAGACTTCTCCGAGAAATGATGCTACTATATAAATTAACAAAAAATATAAGAACATTTAGTTTTCAAATTGTTTGTGAATTTAAGCCTATACTTTTTTTCAGAGATAAATTGGACTTAATATCTATTGTTTTATTAGGTAGACCTTGTATTGCTTGTGGAACAAGTTTAAAATGGTGCATTTTACTGTACAGTATTTCAATGAACTCTGTGATGCCATGTGGCTGCAACATCAAAAGTTTAATCTGTTTTACCTTTTTTTTTCAAGTAGTAGTTTCTTAAGAACATAATTTCTTGTAAGATTATCTTCTTTCGTAGGATACAGTGAATCTTTCATTAGAAGATCAACTGTTTAGAAGTTGTTTCCTTAGCAACATAGACTGATATGTTTGGATAATTTTACATGTTAATGCAATTGAGATATAACTATGTTATTAATTTTCTCTTATAGCTATCAAATGTGATCCAACGAATCTTCCACTGCTATGGGAACGTTGCAATCTTCAAGAGCAGATTGGAGACAGAAAAAAAGCTTTAGAGGGTTATGAAGCCATTATGGAATTGCTAGGTTCTGACCAAGGCAATGAGTGCGTACAGCTCGCTAGGGAAATAGCTAAAGTTAGTTGATCACATGTTTTTCCTATATATATATTTATATTTTGTTTTAGAGGTACCATACAACTATTTACAGAGTGCTGTCAACACATTATGGGAAATACTTTTTAATTTTGTATATTTTATTAACATTTATTTTTTACACAATCAATAATTCTCTGTCTGTTGGCTGACATTTCATAGCAGCATACTTCTGCAGTTCAAATTCTTGCATTCTTTTCCACAGTTCATTAGGGTTGATCTCTTCCATTTCTCCAGGCAGATTTTCCAACGGTGAGATGCCAAATTCTGAGTGTTTGCTTGAGTAGACCAAAGACATAAAGATATTTCAACTTTACATCTGGATATCTGATTTGTATGTCTGCAAAGGGAATAGTTAGAGTTTTTCTGTTGTTTTTGAAGTTTGACAGAAGGCTTTATCTTAATGTAATTTAACTTACTTGGCCACATTTCTATGATGATTAGGAATCTTCTCTTCCAAGATTTGTTTCTAAATATGTTTGTGATAATATTTTAAGTTTTATTGTTGACACAGTCTTCATCTCTAATATTCTGTTATAGTAGAAACCAGCCACAACCATGAGCCCTTTATATGTTACACAATTCTCAATATCACCTTTGAGAGATACTTTTTTTTTTGCAATTTGGTGATAATAACACACATTTGGTTTGTTGCATTTGCCAAATCTTGTCCAGTGCCACTACTAACTTCCATCTCTCACCTGCCAGATTTTATTCATATAGCTTTCTGCTGTTGGTCATCTGCTCAGAACTTTGACTGAAGTTTGTGAACTTTGCCTTTGAGCCTTTATCTATACAAAGATTTTTCTTTGTAATATTATTCACAATATATAGAGAAATTTTTAGTTGTGTTGCCATTACAACTGGGTCTGTGGGATTCTCTGGGAAGATTTACCTGCAGATTTTAGACAGGGATAGTTTTTACTTTTTGCTTTTATTTACCTTTGCTAGTCATGGCCCAGGGCTTTCTTTTATTTGTGTGTATGTTCTGCATGCTATTGACATAAATATTTAGATTACTTTTCTTGCTAATCCCAATGGTATATATACAATTGTATAGCCCATGTCAGAAGAAACTGTGCTGCAGCCTTCCCACTCTGTGATACTTTTTTGGAGCATGAACAACTCGGGGGACCAGATTAAGCTTTAATGGGGGTCTTAGGCCCAGGTAATATTTGGGAATAATAATAATAACAACTCACTCTTTCCTCTATTCAGCTAGTTTTACAAGCCATAATTTTGTTTACTTGGGTGGCTGGCAGGACCTTAGTCCTGGGCCTAGATGGCCTTTGCATTAATCTGGACCAACTTCTTATTTGATAAATTAAATTGTCTACTAGGTGAGTATATATATATGGTGAATGCATAAGAGGAAACCTAGACTATTTTGTTAATTATTAAAAGTGTTACCACAATGTGCTAACAACTCTGCCTTGCCCTATTAAGGACAATGACTTTTTCCTGCTCATTGGGGAAATAAATAAAATGGTAGATAAATTCTGCAATTTGTTGAAAACTGATTTATTAATCATCCAGTGCTTTAATTTTTATAGTTTAAAAAAACAACTTAATCCCTAAAAGTACAGAGTGACACACAAGTGCTTTTTACTGTTATATTTTAAGCTTTTAACTCTCTCAACATGGGCTTGGTCAATTTCACCAACCACATGACCTTTTTGTGCTTGTATAAAGTCTTTATAGCTTTGATACTACTAACTTTTAATATAGTATGTATATCTTCACCAAATTTGGTAGTCTTTCAGTAAACATTACAAGTCTTTCACATACACAAAGTCATATTTTTTGGTGAAGTATTTTAAATAAACTAAAAAAAAGATTTGTTCATGAATATATCGAGTATTTGTTTTGAATAGTCCATAGGCAAAGTGATTTTCATTTTAAGATTAAAAGTACTTTTCATCATCTCAAAAATCTCAAATTTCATTTGTGTAATCTATAAAACCTCCTAAATACATTTCAAACGTTTGTTTTCAGTAAAACTTTATATTTTATTTGTTATTTTCTCTTCCCTAACCCTCTATAAGATTGGTCAATTTGATTTGTAAGTTCTCTACAGTGAGTTGAGTGCTGTAACAGGCATAAACATAAGATTATTTAACTGGTATATTAGATCAGCTACATCATTTATTAAGTTAAATATAAGTTCTAATCTATTTAGATAGACTTGCTTTGAACAGAAGTTATGGATATTTTCTTATTAATAAATCAATTAACAAATATAGACACTTAAAATTTATTTCAAAAGATTTTGTAAAGCATTCAGTCTGTACTGTAGGGGTGTATTTTATATTGAATATTGTTAGTTCTGTACCATAAAAAGGTTCATATACTTTTTTTAGGTCTACACCATATTAAATTAATAACTTATGTAGTGGTATTGTAACTTCTTGTTTCTATTTCATGTAAATGTAGATGCAGCAAATACTACTATAAACTGATGAGTCTAATTCTGATAATACTTATTGTTGTTAGTCTCACCATGAAAACGGCTACATGCTTTCTGCAATCCAGGTTTTAGAAAAAGCTTTTTACAGATTTCCTGAACTGATTACTTCTGAAGGTGAGATAGTTATTCTACTGAAAAACAAGGATTATTACTTTTTTTTGCCTATTTCGTTATAGTTTGTTATAAATGTTGAAACAATAATTATTTATAAATTGATATATTTTGGGTATAATTTTCATATTACCAGCCTCTGGCAGTGAGGTACTATGTTTTACATTTGTTAAGAAAAGTACTTGAAAAGTTTTTTTGGTGTACAAAACTTGAAGATAGCTTTTATATGCGGAAATATCTGTTAGCTGAGTTCAGCAGATATTTCCTTTGCAACATCTCAACAATTGGTCCAGTTATCAACGCTATTTTCAAGTTTTGAACAACTCGACTTTCAAGATCTACGTATCTACGTGTGCCGATGTTTCCGTTTTTCCACGTTATATTTTAAGATCTGTGCAAGAACTCAGCTAACAGATGTTTCCGCATATAAAACCTATCTTTAAGAAAAGTAACAGAAGGTTTTAAAAAAATGGATCTTAATTTATTTGTTTTTGAGAGAAGTCATCAAGTGTGTCCACACTTCCACACATCTTAGAGTTATTGTGTGACACATATTTCTTGAAAATATACACCCGTCGATTCCAAAGAAAACACTTAATCTGATACTGTTATATTATATAAAAACAAAAAAAAACATAAAAAATTAATATATAAATTGTAAATAAAAAAGATAACTCTTGTAAATTAAACAAGTTTCAATGTAGAATAGTGAGTAAATGACAAAATAGTGTTTTACATTAAACATAATGTAAAAAAAGCAGATAAAGCTGGTATCATCTTAAATATTTTTCTGTGTTTGTATGTGTATGTAATTTGTATGTATTTTTATTTTGAATGTTGTATGTGATCATGTCTTAAATTTGTATGAAACATTGTAAGAAATTAAATCTATTTTCCCACCAGTAGCTGTTCAAGAACCTTGTATTGTAAAACAGTGTCATCTTTAGGCCAGACTTATAACACTCATGAACAAATAATAACAATATAAATATTTTTATTCAGATCAATGCAATGTTTTTCTATACAATTGAAATCAAAATGTTTCCAGAATAACAGAAATATGTGTTACTGTGTTATATCAGTTTCTTCTGTTTAAGCCATTTCGAAAATTTTAAAACTTGCTCTTAATAGTCTGTTTCTCTAGCATGCTTAATTTTTTAGTTTTGATCAACTACTTTTAAGGTGCCATTATTGTGAACTTGACCAAATATGTATGGGTTGGTCCTTTGGATACTGAATCTGGTACAAAATATAGCAAGCTTTTAGTAAAATGTGCACAAAAAATTAGATGAGTTACAAAAGTTTATACTCAGAATATGTCTGTATATTGATTACGTTTGTCTGACACAAACTTTAACAAGTTGGAGTGCAAGTTGATGTTCATGTGAAGAATAAAAATACTTTTGTCCATCATGCAGTTTACATATTACACTTGTATAACCTCTACAGTTTCTTTTTCAGTATTTCTGTCTATTATATCTGATATTTACTCTCCCCTACCATAAATTGTTTCTAAATCAGAAATGTTGGGTAAAATGACTAGTTCATTATGCTGACATCAAACACATAATACTGTGTTGGATAACACTTTGTAAATGGTCATGTCATGTGCACCTTGACCTCCACCCATGCACATAGGGTTAAATAATTGAAGCCTCAGATCCCAGAGTAAGGGCAGTTCACATTGCAAGGAAGTTACTTTGAAATGTTGGCTAAAGATATTGTGTTAATATCTCTTCAGTTTTACAGTTTTAATTTTTAATGTGAAAAGCTAAACAACTTAGAAATGCTTTTACGATGGAAGTGCAGAAAAATTTGCATCAAAGACAGAGAAAGTTTTATATAGAGTAGCATTTTCTATTATTAATCTTGCTTGGCAAATAATAGCTGATACTTCTTGAAACTGTAGTTTTAATTTATTTTTTCACTTGGTCAAATGTTAAATGTAGCTGTAGTATTTGAGCTCTCTATGAATCATTCTACATATGTAGATTACAGATGTATTTATGGTTTTTCTTTAAATGTAAAAGTGTAGCTAAATATAGTTTTCAAATGTTTGATTATGAGCATTTTCTCTCCCTTGTATTGCAGATGTTAATATGTTGCTGGAATTACAAATTCATGAGAAGAAACACAGAGAAGGCATAAAGGTTAAATATTTTTTTTCTGAAATTTATTTAGCATTTTCTAGTCTGCCAGAATGTCTCTGATATCCCATTATTTTCATTTTCACACTTAAAATATGTAACCAAATTATATTAAACTTGCTATAAGTGTTTTATATGATGTAAGCTTTCTGCATGTAAAAAAAAATCAAGGCAAATTCATTTGATTTTTTAAGTTGTAAAATATTCAATATTTACGTGGAACTATTTTCTTTTAAAAAAAAGGGTAATTTTAGACTTTCTGTATCTGTTTTATTTTTGATCAAAAAGTTCCATTTTGTAATTTGTTTGATACTACTTTACTGGTTGAAGCAATTGATTTTTTTAATACATCAAACAACTGGCAAATATTTATTGTTGAGATGAGAATTAAATTTTAAAAACTGCGTTACCATTACTTTTGTCAGATGTTTTATTATGATATTATGGAAACAATATTTTTGATTGAAATAGTTTTATATATAATAGTTATAGTTTTTTTTTTCCAGTAAATATTTAGCTCTTGTATTTATGTGTGTAGTGATTGGATATAATAAACTTTATAAAATAGTAAAAAAAAAAAATTTTCATCCAGATAGTTTGCCATTACAGACTAACTAATTTAACCTAAATTATTTTTAAGTGATGTCATGTCATAGTAGAATGTTTTTGTTACTTTCAAATAGACATTATGTCACACAAAAACATTGTCAGGAATGAAAAGAACATCTGAACAAGTTATGTAATAGTTCTTAGGTATCTAATTTGATCCCACGTGTTCAGAACTTTGTGTTCAGATAACGTGTTCACCCTATGAGATTTTAAGCTGGCTGGTATGCTGACAGATTACAAGTTGCTGTTAATAAGATAAACTTCTTCTTACTAAACAATAACCTGCTACATTTAATAAAATAATAATTAAATAAGGAAGAAGTTTATATCAAATGTTGAGAGATGAAATATGATTTAAACTTGTTTTTTTAAATAAATTGTCTAAATAATTTCTAATATAATATATGTATACTTAATTCTCAGCACGAGCTTGGTCCGTGGGACTGACCTTGTAACCATTTTATGCTTGTTATAGTTTTCAT